CTGACCAAAAGAAGGCAAGGCGTAGCTGCAAGTTTGAGGCTGGCTGGTCACAGAACCTAGCAGTTAGCACTGTGGGTCCCACACGTCGGGCTGCTCTTCCTCCTTCTCCTTGGCTTCCGGGAGTCCAGAGCAGGAGAGACCATGGGACATGCATTCCACAAGGCCCGCACTGTCACTGCCACTGTGGTGTCACTGACAGGAAGATTTGCATAGAGAATATATCCTGTCATTGGAGTGGGATCGGTTGCCTTTTATCTTTGCTGGAGACTGGGTTTTTGGAACTGAAAAGTCATGGTTCCCTTCAAAGAGCAGTGTTCAGAACTCAGAACAGCTCACACCTCCCAGCTGCCATGTAATCCATGTCAGATGTAAAATGATCCTTAGTCCTTGACACAAGACTTGTAACACATACTTTACAGCATCAACCCAGGCAATAGATCCCCTTGTGTTTGTTTTAGAAAGGACACTATCCTGTCACAGCTTCTTCATGGGTTTACAGTATCTCCTGTGTGACACAGGTGCAGCCTGCACTGGTCATAAGGCCATCTTCCCTCAGCCAAGAGCAAAAAAGTACTGGATACCACCCATAACCCTTGTTAGTGTATATAAATTTGTTTGTTGGACATTTGGAGGAGAAATTGTACTGTTTCTGTTTTTTTTTTTTTTTTTTCTGGGGAAAAGTTAAGTTTTTTAGCATTTTGCCAAGTGGAAAAATTTATTATACCAAATGGGAAAATAGCAGCTCATGTAATATATATGGAGAAGTCAGTTGTTCCTTTTGAAATCTTTATTTCTTTGAACATTTTTTTGTAGTGTCAGAGACCAAAACCAAGGTTTTGCATATGCAAGGCAAGTACTCCATATCTGAGTAGCTCAAATGTTTTTGTGAAATGTTGAAAGAATCTTTGCATTTCTTTTTAGGAATTTATAGGCATCTTTCTTCTTCAGGGCAACAATTTATTTTTAAATGCCTAAAAGTTTCTAATGATTATCCTAAATACAACACGTAACTTAGGATATGGCAGGTAGAATGGAATCAGTTAGTGAAAGCCTGTAGCTAGAGAAAAGGAATCCAAGGAATTACAGGGCTTAGACATCAGAGCCTGAGTGGGGCAGAGGGAAGGAGGAATGGATGAACATGACCAAAGGTACTAAGCACATGTAGAAGTAACAAGTTCTAGTGTTCTTTTGCACAATGCAAGATACAGATGATAAGATCCTTACCTGTGTTTCAAAAAGCCCAAGGAAATGATTTTTAAGGTTTTTTCCATAAAGAAAAGGTAAGTGTTTGAGGAACTAGATACGTTTAACCTATTTCAAATATTTTACATTTTGTACACACATTAAAGCATCACATTACCCTGTTGATATGTACAATTGTTACATTTTCTTGCGTTAGTTGAAAATTAATTTTATTTTAAAACAAATATATTACATACAGAGGAAAGGATTGTGAAATAAATAGACTGAAAGTGCCTGCTGTTTGAAATTATTTTTAAAAAGGAAAAAATAGAAACCAAGAAGATAGGATGTTACAAAGCCAAACAAAAAGGACTTTCAAGGAAGGCTGAGCAGGCACAGAAAGAAATGCTGCTAGAATGAACATAAAGCAGAATAAGGAGAGAACCAGCGGGTTCTGCGACAGAGACGCTGGTGGTCGTCTCTGTCATAAACATTTCAGTGGCTCGGTGGGGATAAAAGCCATTGTTTGGTGAAATCACTGGAACAATAAGTGATAAAATAGAATCTTAGGAAATGCCAAGTAGTATCCAACCACAAATAAATCTTACAAAATCCTGATAAAGTCTATATTCATAAAACAGTTAAGACTGCCCCATTTATAAAGGAGAAATTAAACTTGTGCTCTTACAGTACTCAGGTGAGATGTCTCTTCATACCTATGTCAGTCTTCCCTAAGGTAAGTTATTCATTAAACTTGATCCTGATCATTTTACTCCAGAAATTCTCATTGCACTTTTACAAGCTGGTTCTAAAGTGTACAAAGGGAAAAAAAGCTAAAATTGGAGTGATACCTAGGAAAATCTGAAACAGAACAATCAGTATAGACTAATTACATAAGAAAAAATTTAAAAATCACTTCATATGTTAGCAATGGCCAGAAGTAATCAAGACAGCCGAGAAGCCAGGCATGGTCTGAGCTCTGTACAGACTGTTAGGCCTTGTGGAAGTGGTACCCTAAATTCTCACGGGAGAAGGGAGTGACAGAGGCAGCATTAATGAGTCAGTGCTAAGATAACTGTATAGCACCTAGGAAAGCCAAGGGGACCGAGTCGCTGTCTGTCCTTACTCCAAGTAAATTTCAGAAAGGCTAACATCATAGCAGGTAAAACTAAAATATAGTGAGATAAAAGAGAAATGCTGATTCTTTCTTTTCTTTTCTCTCTCTCTCTCCCTCTGTCTCTCTTCCTTTCTTTCATCTTTTTGAAATAGGATTTCACTAAGCAGTTCAGGCTGTTCCTAAAGGCACTTGTAAAATTTGTTGCAATCCTCCTACCTCCGCCTCCCAATTGCTGGAATTAAAGGCATGTGCCACAGCCCCAACCTCTCACTTGATTGCAAATGGTGTTATTAAAATGATGGAAAACCTTGTAAGCAGGGCTCATTCTCTGCTTTTAAAAACTGCAATCTTGATCTCATCAAAATATTTCTTTTCCATGACAAGAAAAATAAAAAGATGAATCTAAATAAATTAAAATCTAAATTTAAATAAATCTAAAATTACCTTATATGCTAATTTGCTTAGTATATACACTGCCCCTACAAGTCAAGAAAAAAATGTTTCAACAACTAAGTAGGAAAAAATAGGGTGTTTGTGTGTGTATGCGCGCGCACACGCACACGCATAAAGCTGTAAATTCCGGGGGGGGGGGGTGGGGAGAGAGAGAATTATGAATGTGGTTGTCTTTTAAAAGATGAAGATCAGCTTCAAGTACAGGCAAATGCGTGTAAATCAGGATACAAAGTTTCCAATGATCGCATTTGGCTAAGGCATATCCCCTACTGCATGGTGGGAGTGGGAGGACAGGGGGCAGCTCACCCTATCCTGTGGGGGTGGCAGAAATGTAAGTGGCCACACCCTCCAATGCATGTTCAGGGCCTGTCAAAATTGTCCATAAGCATGTTCTTGAATTTGATAATTCTACTTTTCAAAAGCTTATTCAAAGTGCATTAAATAGAATTACAAACAGTTTTCCAAAAGTTATTTTCTGTATTAGCAAACAATTTACAGCCTCCAATGTCTGTGGTAGGGAATTGTGTAAATGCATTTCTACAATGCAGCAAGCTGCGTGTGGGTAAGAAGAATGAGACACGCCCGTGTGTGAAGTGGGGAAGCAAAGTATGCTTCACTTTGTGCAAAACAAATGGAAAGAAGCCGCCTCCCAAAGAAGACACAGTGCACAGGGAAACTGATGATCAATCAGTTTCCACTTCACTCTGCTTGAGTTTCCAATGCAGTCAGATATTGCCATATGAAAAGGATACCTTTTGAGAAAGACAAAAATGAATTTCCTGTTCCCTTCTGAATTAGTGAAATGAGGCGTGGAGACCATCACTTGTCATGGTGCTGAAAATGACGCAGAACCCGATGAGCAGGTCGCCAGAGCTCTGCTGTTTCTGAGATGACCGCGGGTATCCCCACAGCTCAGACACAGGGCTGTCAAAGCCTGGGGAAGGACAGTTCACCAAGCCCAGAGAGCCGATCGGGAAAGGGCAGGCCTGGAGCTCACATGGGAGCAGAACAGAAGGGCGGGAGGCCTAGGGGGTGAAGGCTAGGGAGACACAGGCGTCCCCCTGGGGTCCCCATGGAGAAACTGTGAACAAGCAGGATGAAATACTGGAGATGCTTTATGTACCTGTGACACCCGGCTGAGAGACAAGGGTTTTATATTTTTAGGTGAGAAAAAGAGGAAATTCCAATCAATTCCATCAGCTTCCGTATAGCTTGCAGCGGTGGCAGAAAAGTCTGAGACAAGAATGTCAAGGGCCTCGGGGACTGCAGAGAGCAGGAAACTGAATGGATGTATTGGCCAGGGTAGGGGGCTTGTGGCCACCAGTCTGAAATAGATTCCTTAGACTTTCTGGATGCTGAGCGATGAGATGGGACAGTGCAGGCGGCCCCGAGGTTTTGTAAGGCACTGTGGGAGTGAACAGTGCCTTGGTTGGGTGTGCTTTGCTTCCCAAGACTCTCCTGTTGGGAGCTTGGTCCCCAGGGTAGGGGCCAAGGCCTGTGGAAAGAAGTTTGGGGTGATATCCCTTCAGACATTGGCATGGACCTGCGGGGGGACCTGACTCTGTGGCCCCTGTGAGGTGATTCTCAGGGGAAGGAGGTGTGCAGTCCCAGGAAGGGAGCACCCTGGCTCCTCTTAGACCCTCTGAGTGCTGTACTGACTGTGACACTACCCACGGTGACACCAGGGCCCCAACCTCCACCCTCCCAACAGTGGGCCAAAGAAAGGCTTCTAAAAATGAAGTTACTGGTAAGTAACACATTAATTCCTTTCTTTCTTTTCTTTTTGGTCAATACCACACAAAGAATGCCAATATTATCTGCTGCAAACAGGTACTAATCAAAAATATGAAATTAAAAGAGTTTGTAAAAAAAAAAATCAACATTACTGAACCTCAGACATTTCATGACAGTAACAGAAAATAGACGAATGCCGTGTTCCAAAGGCACTGAAGCTCTTTGCAGGAAAGAAACTATGGTTTTGCCCCGAAATCTGCTCTAGGTTAACACCAGCATAAGCACTGGTGGAAAGTGACCAACGGGTGGAGTGCAGATGCCCGGAGACCAATGTTCCTTTGGATAGTGAGAACCAGCAGAGAAGTGGAACAGAAGTCACAGAGCGGGAGGGGCCCCCTGAGAACGGTGTTCAGGACAGAAGCCCAGAGGTGACTTTCTGGTACAGAACTGGGACACTGGACCCCGAGAAAGCCTTTCTCTTCCCCATTCTGTAAAGTTTTGACAAGCAGTGAATAGTTATCATTTCTTTTTATTAGCGTATGTTCACAAAACATGCCTTATACATGCATCAGGAAAATGGGTACAGACGCATATCACACCTTGGCCTTTTTTACTTTCCCTTCTCTCCATCTGCTCTTATGTCCAAATCTTTTTCCATCTCTAAAATCTGTCTCCATTTGTCTAACATTTCTATCTTTTTTCTCCCTAATATGATGTTTTTAACTTCTTTGGGAAAATATCCAGAGGAGGTATATAGGTCAAAGGGAATTTCTATTTTTAGATTTTGGAGGGAACTTCATATTGGTTTCCATAGTGATTGCACTAGTTTACACTGCAACAGTGAAGAAAGGTTTTGTTTTGTTTTCCCACAAGCTTGCCAGCATTTGTTGTTCTTGCATTCTGGATGACAGCCATTGCTTCCTGAGTGGATCTCAGTGTAGCTGGGTCTGCGTTTCTGCAGTGGCAGAGAGTGAGCACTCTTTGGGTTCCTACTAGCCATTTGCATTTCTATGAGAGATGCCTGTCCATGTCAGGGGCTCATTCTCTGATTAGGTCTTTTATTTGAGAAGTTCTAATGTTTTTAATTGTTTTTCTATTCCAGATGTTAGACCTCTGTCTGAGGTACAGCTAGAAAAATACCTTTCCTATTCTGCAAGTTGTCTGTTCACTCTGCTGGGTGTTTCCTTTGCTGAATGGAAATGTTTTGATTCTATAGAATCCCGTGTGTGAACTGTTGGTGTCATAGCTTGTGCAGTGGTGTTTTGCTCAGGAGTCTGCCTATGTCTTCAAGAGAATTACTCATTTTTTTCTTTCAATAGGCTGTTTCTGTGTTAAAGCCCAACTTTTTGAGTTATTTGGATTTCAGTTTAGCACATGGTGAAAGACCCAAGTCTAGATTCAACCTTAGCCACGTGGACAACCAGTTGTCCCAGACCCACTTGTGAGAGACGCTGTCTTCTCCCCAGTGTATGTTTTTGGCCCAACAATGAATCCATAAAAAAAAAAAATAAATCCAGAAATCAACTTCATCCACAATAGCTTCAAAAAATAAGTAAGTACTTAAGAGTCGAAAGACCTTTATGAGTAGTACTGCAGTGCTAAAAAAAAAAAAAAAAAAAGACATCAAAAAAATGGAAAGACATCTTCTGAATAGGCAGAATGAAATTGTGAAAATAGTTATATTACAGAAAATCGTATATAGATCTAATGTACCCCCAATCAAAATACCGGCAGCCTTTTTCACAGAACAGAGAAAACAATCCTACAATTTATATGGAACCTGAAGAGATATAGAATAGCAAAGTAATTCTGAACAAGGTAAAAGCTAGAGGCATCACAATCCCAGATTTCAAGTTACAATACAGAGCTGCATTGGTTTAAACAATAACTTGGTCCTGGCACAAAAAGAGAGGTGCAGATACATGGAACAGAACTGATGATGCAAAAAAATCCATCCACCTTCAGCCACCTGATCTTCAACAAAGGGGCAAATACTGAATTTTATCAAGCATATTGTAGCACCTTCAAGTGCACTGAGTACTGGCCATGTATGTTATGGCATGTGCTTCTAATATTTAACCATTATTCTGTGGATAAAAAAATATGGGGAGATAATGTTTTCTTAATATCCATTTGATGGAATTTGCTAAGGTTTTATTTTACATTTTCACATTTGCAACCACAAAAGTGATTATATTTTCAGAGCCATACTAATTTCAAATCCTCATTGTATAATTTGTACAGTCTTTTTCTATATTCTTGACCCATGATTTGTCATGGTAAATATTAAGCATTCTCATTGTACATTTGTAATATTACATGTTTTTCTTTAGAGCTTTATGTAGAAATAATTTTCCATTAGTTTTTCAAATTATTGATTATGTGTTGGTATATGTTAGAATTTTATTATTTTACATAAAATCAGTTATAGAAAGTTTCAGCCATTCAAAAGTATATGATACATATTCTCATAATTTTAATCTCCTATTTATTTTTTATTCCTTCTCTCCTTATTGAAAATTTTTTATTTTATGATTATATTTCCTAGAAGGTTAATTGTCTTGATTTTTCCAAAAAGAATAAATTCATGTTTCTTTTGCAAGTTGTAGTATATTTTCGTGTTTTATAATTCACTTCTTTCATCTTCCGTCTGCATCCTTCCTTTTTCTCTCTCTTCCTATTTTTGCATGTCTGGGATTTTCTAATTTTTCAGAATCATTCTGAGTTGAAGTCTTCATTCATTTATGTGCTATTGTTTGATCTTGGAATCACCTTTGGGCTTTTTATTTATTAGAATGTAGAGTTCTCATTTTCCCCCCAGAGTCCATATTTATGATTTAATCACTTTTATCTCAAAAATCACTTAGAGGAGAGTTTAAATTTTTTGCTTACTGTTTTTGTTTTATGATATTTGTTTACTATTTGAAGTTTTCTCTTACATAACATTGGAATTTTATTTCCTTATGTGTACTGAAACAATGTAACAGACACCAGTTACAACCTGAGCCATGCTACAGGACAGAAGTCTTAAGGGAATAGAAAGACAGAGACAGCATGAGCTCAGTCACATGCAGGATCTGAAAATGTTGAGAAGAAACAGAAGTAGCAAGTAGAGTGGTAGGACCAAGAAAAGACCGATAGATAGTTAATTTTAGTTGGATATAAGAAGGAAGTTCTCCATTATACAACATGGGATATAGTTAATAACAATGTATCATACACTCGAGAGTTGCTGAGAATAGATTTTAAATGTTCTCACCACACACACATAAATATATGAAATATTACATATGCTAATAAATTTGATGTACCCATTCCTCAAAGTATAGCTATTTTAGAACACTCTGTGATATACTATGATTAAAGGCAATTTTGTCAATAAAACTTTTACATTAAAGAAATCCCGCTGAACTGTTAGTCTGTTTCATATGAAGAATCAGAGAGTCCTTGCAAGTCGTCTGACATCGCTCACCTGGAAGTAATAAGCGTTCTTTAACAGTATGTCCTTTAACAGTATGTCTTCTCTTTAATGGCTGGCTTTTTTAAACAAGAATTTCCTAAGAAAAGAGAAAGGAGCCCCTGTGAGCTGGAAACTAGAGTGATACCTCGGGCAGAAAGAACAAAGGACAGAGGGTGGTTTTACCTTTGAGGCAATGTTTGCTTTTCTGTGGGAATGTAGAATGCTGGACACACGGCAGCCTTCGCTATGCACCAGTGCTGACTTTCTGGGAACAAAACATTACTGAATCTGCTTAGTGCTCTCAATGCTATAACTGATACATGACAAGTACCAATTGTATTGTTGAAATTCCTGGACCAATCGTGACATGATTTGTTTTCTGCCTTCTAAAATTATAGAGACAAAACATGAGAAAATTGTTTGTTGTAATTGCTGGCAATAGATGACCTAAGACATTACGAAACCTTGTCTTGTCTTCTGAGAACCTGCGGTCACAAAGCCTGCCCTACCTGGGGATCTGCCTAAGTCGTGACTCAGAAACAGACAGGAGAACCATTCTAAAAGGCAAAATTAACTGTAAGGGAGTGAAGGACTTATTTGCCTATACAGACTCATTCTCCCACTTAGAAACACTGGCGGGTTACCTATGAATAACAAAGTTAGACAGACAAATTTATAGCACTCACTATAAACTGTACTGATATGGGCGCCCTAGCACACACTTGAATAAATTGCCAAAATCTTCCTACACCGTTTTTTCCTTTAAAATGAATCACTTTCTACGACTCAGTTTCTGGCTTCACTCTTATTTTATTTTCAAGCAAAATAATGTGTTTTTAGCAAAGTATAGAGGGACATATCTGTAACCCCAGCACAGAAAGTGGTTGGGGCAGGAGAATCTCAAATCTGAGGCTGAGCTGGACAACTTAGTGAGATCCTGTCTCAAAAGAAAAAAAAAAGTGGGGGGGGAGCGGCTGGAGCTTAAGCTAAGCATGAAGTCCCTGGGTTCAATCCCCAGTAGAGTACTACAAAAGAAATGTGCTGTTATGTTTGGTTATTAATCTGAAATTATGCTTTTGGACTTACGCTTTTCCTTTCTAAAGGATTCCATAACACTTGTTTTTGTTTAACTTGTACATGAAATATACTGATATGTACAAAATATACCCTCTTTTTGCAATATGGAACTCACTGCTTGCTGGATTTTCATACATAGCTGAAGAAATACTATGAAAAAAGGTTGAAGTCCATTTCACAGTTTTTTTGAGAGACTTATGCTACTGGGGACACATTCAGATACTGCCAGAGCTGCGCAGTCGATTGGTTAAAACCAAATATGAGTCTGACGAATTTGGGAAAAGCTGTCTTTGTGCATCTGATTACTCATCTCAGTCTCCTTTATTGCCCCTTCTTCCTTTGCCCGTAAGCAGTGGTGAATCCCAGACTTCCACTTTAAAGTCCTTCTAGGTTTGCCTGTATCTTCTTTGGACAACTTAATTCTGCTTAGTTGCCGCCCACCATCTGTCCTCCACAGCCCATCTTTCCAAGGCAGTCATCGTATTACTCAGCAATGAGAAATGGTGTGTTGGAACCACCACTATGTGTGCCAACACAATTCTAAGATGGAGAAAATAAAATCAAACGATGCTCCTCAATCGAACTCGCCTAGATCCCTTTCTTGGAAAGGACTCAGTAATTATGCCTGGCCTTCCGGACATCCACAGATTCACTGTCAGCATTGCCTTCTAGAACCCAAACTCAAGTGTCAGAATTGGCCAGTTGGATTCATTAGGCCACATTGATTGGGACGGATGAACTTAGCCTAGTGAGTGGATACAGTTTTCTTCATCTAGCCACAGAGAAGGCAGGAAATGATTAGATGGCCAAAACTGGTCCAACTGGAAGGAATCTCAAGACTCAAAGGAAACACAGAACATTTTCTACAGGATCTGACCTTGAGAGAATGTTAGCTGAAGTCACTCTTGCACCTGTGAACACATATGCACAGAACAGCTCACTGTATTGCTTAGGGTTTCATCGGGAAAATGGAGCACTAAGTGAAACCAAGTAAGGAATGTGTTAATTCATAAGGCAAGACCCTGTGCTCCCGGAAGAGTCCATGGAAGAAAGTCTGTGTCCAGTGAGGAGTGTGAGCTTGGTGCCCCAGAAGCCAAGCTGGTCACACAATAACAGAGAATGGGAACGAGCCAGGCCCCTGAAGCTGAGAATGCTCCCCAGTACAAGCAGCAGTGGAGCCTGTCTCTCACAGATGATATGGGTGTCCTGAGGAGCACACAAGTTTCCTAATCGTGTGGCATATGTATCTCACACAGAACCAAATGATTCACTTTGCTTCTTTGCTGAATTTGTTTCAGAAATGTGATTTTTAAAAGAATTACATGTATGGGCAAGGCTGCTCCTGCTTCCTATTCACTCCCCTGTATGCTATCAGTAAATAGCATTCTGATTGTGGTAGATCTTCTTTTTTGTTTTATTTTTACCTTACAAAACAGAATTGCATGCATCCATTAGCCGGGATGTGACTTTCAAAGCTTGACTCCTGCGGCTTCCTTCTGCTCTCTAAATCTTGCTTCTGTTCCTTCTGTGGTCAGTGCTAATCTGGAGTCACAGGAGGAAAGCAGCTGTGTGGCAGCCTCCTGCGAGGAACTCCGCACAAATGAGACCATTATGTGCAAATGGAGACAGCACAGAAGGGGTGAATCTCAGACCTGAGCAAAGGAAAGCAACCTCCGGGTCAAGGAACCTCAGACCTCTCCCTATGAGTCAGAAACCTGCCTCTTTCTCTGTGATTTAGTGTTTGCCTCACTGGCTGCAGAAGCACGCAGATGCTGCCCTAGGAATGGAGCTCTCCCTGCAAGGGGCAAACACTGAATTCACACTGGGCAAAGTAAGCCCAGAAGAAGGCTGGGCTGGGCATATGGTAATGCTGGTAATCTGGTTATGAATGTTCCAGGGAGGTAAATGTACACCTCTTAAAAAACAGCCTCAATTTAGCAAAGGATGGACCATGGATTGGGATTTCCAGTTTATGTCTCCTCTAAATCCTATAAGAAAGAGACAAGGTCCCACTGAAACTGGATCATCTGACCATTGAGTGCAGACCATGAGTGAGGGTGGTTTCAGTAAGAAATTTATTTCTTGCCTGAGACTTTCTTTCCATTCAGGGCCCCTGAGAAATTCACAAGATGAGAAAATAGAATTTACTGCTCTCAACAAAAGCTTATGCCAGAAAAACAGAGCTTTGGGAACAATAAATGGGGATGCTAAGGCCTCTCTCCTAGGGCTCCTCTTTTTCTTGTTGTTTTTTGCTTTATGACAAAGTCTTACTGTGTTGCTGGGATTGACATGGAATTCCTGAGCTCAAGTCACCCTTCCTCGCCAGTCTCTTGAGTGCTGGGTCTAGGAGAGTGTGTAGTGTGCCTTGGTGAAGCCCCTGTTTGGAAATACCTAGAAGGCTTCCTATTGGTGCACTATACAGCTACCACATGGGCATTCGAAATGGGAGTCAGAATACCTGCGTCTCCAGCCCCTTTCCATGAAGGAAACTTTCCCAAGACAGAGGCCAGGATGCTGGTGATTTATATGAGGGATACGAGCAGGTAGGTCACCGCGGCCTACAGGTAGTGAGGAGCATTCAGAACTTCATTCTAATACAAAGACTGTTTTGAGGAGGCCTCTAGTCTTTGGTCCTAGGGGATGTAATGGCCTGGACTGCAGAGACTGGAAATGACTTTCAAGGCACTTGTCCTATTAGCATTGGAAAATGACAGATTACAGTTGCAGCCACTAAGCCGTATCCCAAATTCCTAACCTATTTCAACAGGAATGGGTTATTCAAGACTCACACATCTATTGGCTTTGATCATGAGGACAAGAAAAGAAGATAAACCATCCAGAATAGCACAGCCAGGACATCTGATGAAGACCTGCTGACAGACATTCTCTGTCCCTTGTCAGATACTTACAGAAGGACTTTTGAGGTATTTTATTTTCCTTCTCCCATCCAATGGGACTTTTACTGCAGATATGTCTATTATCCAAATGTATTTTCCATACAGTGGAGCATCCTATTTTGTCAAGCTCTTTTCTGGTTGGCTGGAGCTACAGTGAGATCTGATGACTAGGAACAGACACTCACCAGAAGGCACAGTCTTGGAACTGTATATGATAACTGAGGAAAAGGAATTTAGGACTAGTCCTGTCTGCACATTAGATGGTGCTATTATTTGGTGGAGTATTCCTGGAAAGTCTGTGTGTTTGAGGTTTAGTTCCTAAGGTGGTGAGGTTGGGAGGCACTGTGGACCTCTAAAAGTTGGCATATGGTAAGAGCCTATATAGGTCTTTGGCAGCAAGAGATCTGTAGGTCATTGGGAACTGGCCATAGAGGGACTGCAGGACCACAGTTTACCAGATCACAGTGTCAATTCCTGGCTTACCAGGAGCCACCACCCTTGCCAAAGGCCTCAGGCAAAAGAACCATTCAGACTTGGGCTGGAACCTCCCAAACAACGAGCCCAAACAAACTTTTCTCTTTCAAGCAAATTCTTCTTAGGTTTTTCCCTGAGCAACAAGAACCTGGCTAACACTAGTGGCTAAGGGGATGGACTGTAGTAGACCTCCCTTTGTTTTTAAGTTGCCAGGGTCCCTTCCTTATAGCATTCAAATAGGGCACCATCCTCAGCTCACAGCCAATAGTCCAGGTGGGCTTCGATCTGTATCGAACGTGTGGCCAAACTGAGATTGACCAGATCCAAACTGTGGAAAATTAAGGGCGGAGCCCTAACCCCACACTGAGAATTTTACCTAGCTATACACAAATCAACCAGGAAGAATCAGAGCTAAAAAAGCAAGAGAAAGAAACTGAAATCATGCAATTAAGTAAGCCTCCAAATTTAGACTGAGAGTTACATGTTTGTCCAACCCCGAGTCTTTCAGTAACATAAACTAATCATGTTTTTAGTTAAAGGAACTTGAGTTTAAATTGGTATTTATTTATAACAGAGGAAAATATCTAAATTATTTTTAAACTTACTCCTTTTTTTCTTACTCCACAATGTTAAATCAGACCTACAGAAAGCATAACCAGTATCTCTGCATGGCTCTCTTTTTAAGTTTCTAATTGAAATTATTATAGGCAACTAAGTTAGATAAAAATATTATGGGCAATTAGATAGGGCGGGCCCTCAAAGGAGCCAGTGCAGAAGCCCAGATACCTTGTAACTGTGGGGAGACAGACACCTCTGCTGTGGGCCAGATCTCAAGACAGAAGATGAAACAAATGCACCCACGTACTTCCTAAGTATAAATGTCAGGGACTAGTGTTCTAAAAAGGTATCCATCACCTTGAGGAAATCAGAGGGAGCCACTAACCCAGCCCCCTACGGGCAAAGGCCCTGTTCTATACTCATGCCTGCTTGCTTCACAACTGGCTTCCCCATTTGATCCTGATCTAATCAATATTACCTGAGCAACTCAGCTCATAACCTTATTGGTAACCATAATTCTGTCCCACCTCATGCTTACCTTGTGATTTCCCATTTTCCCCACCTTGGACACCTCACGCCATGGTTTTTATGTATAAAAACCCTTAAAAAGGCAGAGTTCTTGGCAGTCCATTCAGGATCCCTTCTGCCTCTCTCTGAGACAGAAGTTCTTCTTTTCCTCAATAAATATATTCTGCTCCTAACCTCCTTTGTTCCTAAAATTCATTCTTTGATTTTAGAGAACATGAACTTGTACCAGGCATCTAGCAAGTTGGCAGTTTCTTCCCCCATATCAAAATGTGCCTGTCCTCACTCTACCTAGAAAGTTCCTATGAGCTCACCAAGACTCTCCTCCTTGTTCATTTTTCTCCAAAAGCCCTCTTCAAAGTTCAAATGGGTTTCTGTTTCTAAAGTCATTGCTGTTTCCAGGCTGAGAATGAAAACGTGATCTACACTGTATGTGTCCCTTTGCTGACAAACTTCTTAGTTTAATGCATAAGAGGAAAATATTACACACTATGGTTACCAAGGCTATTTTAGGTGTTACACTGGTTAGCCAAAAAAGAATGTTTATTTTTAAATTGAGACATTACAAAAAAAGTAGAAATGTTGTCATCTCTTTTCTTGAGGCCAGCAAGTTCCACACTGGTATTTTAAGCTGTTTTTCATATGCTTGGCATGGTGCTAGCTGCCTTGATTAGGAAATGGCCTAAGGCAGAGTGCCGGCCATTGTCCTGGAGTTTATTCCCTCTGCTTCTCCGAGCAATAAACCGGAAGTTAACCCTTCCTCCTTAGCTCTGGAAACCCCGACCATGAATAACACAGCATGAGCCTTTCTATAGCCTGACAATTGCTGGAAGTGTTTTCTCTTCTGACAACATCCAAGCTGAACAGCAAACAGTATTTGTTGTAGAAACCATGTCCATAAGCTTGACCAGAATTCTCCTAGGGGAAATTACTTTTCTTTCAAAACTGTGAATTAGGTTATTAATAACATGTAAGCCTGTTGTTTTCTTTCCAGAGTTTTCTCTTTTTTTTCATTTTTGGCACAACTTCTCATTGCTTGAGACTGTGAAAGATGACATAAAGGATCCCCCGTAAGCTCTGAATTTCCCCACAGTTTATGGGAAGGGTCCAAATCACTCAAGTCCCAAGAGTAAAGCTGGAAATGCTGCGCCTGTTTGCATCCTAATGGAACTGCTCACTCAGTGTTTGGAAAAGAAACAATGTCCGTAGAAGGAAAAGCGTGAGCAAAGAGCAAGCATAGCTGTAGCCTGTGTGTGCTGTAGCTGCCCTTTTCCCATTCGTGGGCTCTTCTGCTTCCTCCCTTTGTACAGGTTACATTGTCATATTTTGTGCGTTAAATATTTCCACAATGGACGAAGGCCTGTGGACTCTGATTATGGACTACTCTAAGTTGACTTTTGACCTCCTGTTTGCACGGATTTGTTGAGTAAGTTTCATCTCTCAAAACCTCAATCCCTGTATAGTGAGAGGTTGGTGATTTGCATACAGATTTGTTATGGATATATTAGAGAAAATGAATGCAAAGCAGAGAAACAAAATCTTAGTGACCCTCAACCAATAAGAGGGACTTATCAGAGGCCCTGGACTAACAAGCCCAAAAGAAGCAGGGATGATCCACTGCAAACACTTACTCTGGACAGGACAGCATTACCACTGCCGTCCACCTCGGCTCTCCTGCAGATGGATGTGCCTTGTTGCTACTGTTTTGTTATTTTTCAATTGCTTTCCCAAACACAAAAATAGTGTCACAGCTTAAGTTACATGTGTAAATTGGGAACAAAGCAAAACAAAACACCCAGCCCTCCCAGCGCTTTAACATCACTCCAGTTCCCAGCTCCCAAGCAGCAACCCCTCCTTCTGTTTCTGTCCAGCTTAGACACTGCTCCTTTATCTCCACAATCCTCCTTTTGTCCCTCTTAAGTGTCATGCAGCTACCCCTGCCTGACATGCCTCCCAGATGACTCAGTGTGACACTGTGGGCACATACTTACTTGTTGAGGTAGAAAAAGCATCACACTGACTATTCACCAGAGCTCTCCCCAGGCTGCTGCTGCAGGCCTTAGGGGAGGTCAGTCCTCTCTGACTGCCATTTTCACCTATCAGCCCCAGGAATTTCCTGCTGACCCGCATGGCACATAACTGTGTCAGAGGTGGCACAAGAAATGTTTTTCCTTCGGAAGAAAAATAGCAGAGAACCTTCTTATTTTGAAATTGGTGAGCCTTGGTTCATCCATTTTGAACTCGACACAGCAGGAAAGATAGAAGGAACAGTAGCTCCCTTGATGAGCTGCAGTCCTGCCACCTGACACCTCAGAGCCTCCAGAGAGGGTTGATGCTCAGGTCTTTCATCCAAGAGCAGTGTTAGGAGGTTCACAGAGCATCCTGGCCATCAAAGGCAGCGTCCCTGGGTGCTGCAGAGTGTCTGTCTGCAGGACATCCAACAGCAAGTATGAGGATGTAAGTGCACAAAATTAAATAGGTGTCAAGAGAGTTGTTTTTATTCCAAATATTCCAAGGGGACAGATTTCTACAGTTGGTACAAACAAGTTGATTATGTTCAATCCATCCAGCAGAACTTGGGCTTTTTTACATCTTATCTTCTTTTTGTCTCATGATCCATGATATTCGAATAGTTTCACTCAGAGTTAGTTTTGAGAATTGACTTCATTGATGAGTTTAGAGTATCTTTTAAAAATATTCAGTTAGTATTACTCAATTATTATCTTTAAAAACTACCCAGAAATTATGATTATTTTACATCTAGTTATATGGTCAAGATTCAGAAATTTTTTTAAAAACTGGTATTTTTTAAATATAGTAGATCACAAAATTTGATGATACAAAATATAAGCCAAATACTTCGATACAAGAATTGCCACCAACATGCTAAAAATATGATAAAGCCTTCAGTATTCCAATAATTCAGTTTAATAAACATCTATTTGTAGTATCACTATGATTAATCTACATACCTGCCAGATTCGTACTTTTTGTACGTACAATGCTTAGTTCTCATTCAGATTTTTACAGTTGTTTTTCTTTTTTCTTGGTAATATAAATATTTTGTCACCTCAGATTTTATTTCTTCAGGACAGTCTTGTATAGTATCCTTTCTAAATTTGGTCCCAACTGCCCAAAAATTCTCTATAGCATTGCCCTGTTTCATAGTGTTTGCAATTTTAATCATAACCGGGAGATATCTCAGTTACATGCTACTTATTTCATATTTCCTTCTCCACTTGGGACTCTTGCTATTTTTACTCATAACAAAATAGGAGGGATCGAAATATATGAGTGACTGCTTAAAAATGTTATTATGGTAAAAATTTCATTGCCCTTCCCCCCTTAAAGTAGTCCCCTAGCTTTGGACACACTTATTCCACTTTCTTGTCATGTTTTGCAGCAGTTCTGGAAGTCTCTTTCATGTGTGGCCCGATGAGATGTGATGACAAGGGTGGCCAGTGGGGCTGCCCAGAGTCCTCCGCAGAAAGGCTGTGATGGGCTTCCTCACCCACCTCATTCACCAGCTCCGGTGCTGTGTGACTTCCCGTTCTTCCCCAAGGTCAAAGGGATCATGAAAGGGAAACGTTTTCACTCAGCTCAGAAGCCTGAAGCAGCCACAACAGCTCCACTAAAGACACTCCCAGAAAGGGACTTGCGGAGCTGTGTCTTGGGTGACAAGCATCGTGGGATGAGAGTGTCTGAACTGAGGGAGAGAAGCTTGAGGGAAATTAACAGCAGCACGTCTTTTACTGTTGAACTGTTCCATCATACCTCATATTTCCAGGACCATGAACAATGACTGACTAGCAGAAATAATAGTTTAATAAGCTTAAAGTACATATTATACCTTTATAACTTCACATGCATTAGCTAGCAATTAATCCTCACAGCAATTTTGCAATTTAAATGCAGTATTGCATTCATTTCTAGAAATGAAGAAAATAAAACTAAAAGCAAAACAATAAGTACCCATCAGTATACCATCAATGAGCTCTTAAGCAGCCTAATGTAGATTTATTAAATAAATACATTGCCAGTTTTGGGGCAAGGAGATGAATACACAGAGATAAATAAATAAAGCCTAATCATTTAGGCTTGGAGCACACAGTCTATGGAAGGAAACTATAAACAGGGAAGGTTAATAGAACAAAACAGATAGATAGATAGATAGATAGATAGATAGATACATACATACATACATACATAGGTAGATAGATGATAGATAGATACATACATACATAGGTAGACAGATAAATACATACATAGGTAGATAAATGGATAGATAGATAGATAGATAGATAGACAGACAGACAGTACATAGGTCCTGTAAATAGTCAAGAAACCACTCTTTTGAAAGCAGGGATAGAGTTGAGAGCAGTCTTCTCAGTCCTCAGGGAAAGTATAAATGTGGGATTGTATTTACTTTGTGTGGAAGGTCTAATTTCCTTAAGAGAGATGATGGATAATATCTGCGTTGAAAAAGAATGAGGATTTTAAAATGTCCAGCATTTAAAATCACAGAAAGAAACACCGAGCAACAGAAAATGCTGCAGAGAGTTATAATGTATCTAAACAACATTCTAAAAATGCTACAGGAGGCTTTATTTTCCTTCCTTGTCTTCTCGCCTTTGCTTTATTATTACAGCCCCTCAGCGGATTTGAGCTGAGTGCAGCTCAGCAGTAACCAAGCCATAACCATGGATGTGAGAGCAGAGGGCCAAATGCCGAGGGCAGAGCCCTCGCTCAACGTCTTACCGAAGAAAGGCACAACAGTAACTCTCCTCAGTAAGGGAATCTATAATCATGAAAATTAAACGTGGAAAATTACATCATTTATTTTAAAGGAAATGATAGGCTTAGAAAACACAGTCCTTGATCATTGTTGTCATCAGAGTTCAAATTTGTTTTTTTTTAGATTATTCTTTAAAATTGTATAACTATATGCTTGAGTACACTCAGTTTATAACCATGTTAAGGAGCAGGTACATGCACATGATACAGTTGCTTGTTTTTTAATTAAATCACTTTCCCTTGTCTCTTCCTTCTTTCCTGCTCATATCACTGTAGTATGATGATTTTAGCTCTTTGGGCAAGATGCCTGTGAAGAAGATAGCTGTGTTACACAGAATTTCTAATTTTGGTTCTTAGAGAAATCTCCATACTGAGTTTTATAAGAGTTGTACAAGTTTAGATTCCCAACAACAATGGAAGATAGTTCCTTTCTCACCATAACTCCCCAATATTTCTAAATTTCTTGGTAATTGCTATTCTTTCTATAGTAAAAAAGAAATTTAGGGATTTTTAAAGTTGCATTTTGCTAATGGCCAAAGGAGTTTTTTTTTTTTTTTTTTTTTCATACATTTGCTGTCCATTAGTATTTTTAACTCCGTGAAGTGTACATTTCACTTGCTTATTTCTTGGTTGGGTCTTTTATTTTAGGTCATCTTTTTTTTTTAGTTCATTATATTCTGGATATTAGTGCTTTGTCTGAGGAATAGCTGTCATTTTTTTTTCCCATTCTGTACATTGTCTCTTCACCCTGCTAAGTGATTCCTTTGCTG